TAAAAAATTCCCAGCGATAGGGAGGCATGTGGTGCGTTTTTTATATTTGGTCCCCAAAATAGCGCCGAAAGAATGACTCGAAGGTGGAGGCCGCCACTTCTACGAGTATTTTCCCTTGCTATTCAATAGTTCTCATGAATGTGGCGTGGCTGGCTGTTTGATTTTGCGATCGTTTGACTAGAAACAAATTATAAAATATGAGAGGTCATCCAAGAAGTCCACAAGGACGGAGAACGTGGCCACTTTTCTGAAGAAATTCCTTGGTATTCTATAGTCACAATGCATGCAGTGCGGTTGCCCAAAAAATTCCGCCTTAGTTTGGCGCAAAATAAGGTATAATAAATGAGAGGTCTGACGATTGCATGGGCAAAGCAAGACGATGCGGCTCCTTTTCCTGAAGAAACTATTTGGTATTCTACAGTCACGACGTACGTGGTGTGGCTGCCTTTAAATGGAACCTTCATTCGGTGCCAAATAAGGTATAATAAATGATATGTAATGTGATTTGCAGGAGCTCAGTGAGAAATTGCGACTTGATGGTATGTATTGACGGAGTAGAGTGCTATGTGAGCCGTGGTGCATCGATATGAGATAGCGTGGGTGAAAGAAGAAAAAGAAAAGGAAAAAAATGTGAAAAAAGAAATTAATGTGTGGAAAATAAATGGCAAAAATCAAAATAAAATATGTAACAACGACAGCTTGGCCGAGCGGTTAAGGCGGTAGACTAGAAATCTACTGGGGTCACCCGCGTGAGTTCAAATCTCACAGCTGTCGAAATATAGTACGATGAAGTCATCTGCAGTCCAATTGCGCACTCCCAAAGTGCAATACAGGTCCCTGGGGCCTGAAAAGACTGCTACGAGTACTTTTTTTTACTTTTGCTCCATTCACACGATCCTCCTTGCTCTCTAGCAACTCTCTACGATGTATCAACGAGTGCTATACTCGCGCAATATATTTTAAACCGTATTTTCTACCATTAAATCCTGGCTCGTTTTCAAGCTCCAGTTAGCTCCCAAAAAATACTACAATATGCGAATTGGAGCTATAGCGTTGGCCTCAAGTGAAGAGCGTCTCT